ATATATGGATCGGTAGTTAGTGAAAAAAATATATATATACAGCCCAAGTGAAGGAGAGAAGGAAGGTTTGAAATATTCATGATTACCAGATCTCCTAGGATTTATCTCTAATAGCACTTTTGTCTTGCACTTTTTCTTTCCAATACCGAAGATCATACCCAAAGCCCCACTTATGCTAGGATCTTTCTTTACACATTTATTTCTTTTTTGGCATATGATTTTTGTGGACTTGAACTAATGGAATTAAAAAACAATCTTGTGAAAAGGGGAGACAAAATTTTAACCTTAAAATATTATTATAGCATTCCCAAGGGAATAAGAATATAATATATAAACATAAAACAGCAACAAGAACAACAATAAAAACATCAGTATAAGAGAAGGCAGTTGAGCTATCTTGGACAGAACTTTTCTCATTTCCCATCTTGAAGAATTTGCATACCATGTTCATGTACATCTGAAAAGTTTCCATGAGGCATAAGGATGGTTGAAAGTAAACCCCTTTCTTTGGAGCTTAAAGCTCTTCTGAAACATGCACAAAGCTTCTATAGATTGGAAGCAGGTATATGTTGGGGATGATAGCCAAAAATAGACAAAATTCAATTATTTTTAAAGCATGCATCCAATAGGTAATTAATAAATGTGATCCATTTTTATCCTACATTTGAAATGTTTTATTTGTGTTTCGTGTTTATGACAACCAGAAGAATGCAGTTTGCAGACTTCTAACTGAGGAGAGTTTAATTGACCGATGGCTTTAGGTACTGGACTCTGCAGTCCACAATTTGGGCAGGCTTCAATTGCTTTACCAAAAATCAGAGATTAGATGAGCGGCTAAAGATCACAACTGCATTAAGCTGTCATTGCCATCACTTTGGGGCAGCAAAAGGAATTTATTTTTTATTTTCATGTGTCAATGCCATCTACATTTCACACTTATGTGGTGTTGGCTATGGTTGTAGAAATCAGAATTTCAGGGATACAGCACTGGGTATCGTGTTTGTTCCTCTATGAAAGTCTTTCTTTTGTGTACCCTGATGGCCTTTATGGATTCTATCTGCCTTGCTCTCTGGCTTCCAGTTGAGTTGGGGCCAATGGGAAGCACGGTCGGAGATTAGAGGGAGAAGAGTGAGGTTGTTATTGATCCCTTCAGTGCTTTTTTCTTGCCAGACCCCTCAGGCCAGCTCTTTCCTGCAAAGATCATGGCTCCTATTAGCCTTTTCCGGAAAGCTGTTTCTCCCTTCTGTTAAAAGTGCTGTTCTCTTGCCCCTCTACGCATAGCAAGAGTATAGTCTCCTGATATTACTAGCTAGTACCAGGGAATTGATTTGTCCCTTGATATTTCTCTATCCCTTACCTATGCTTTTGCAAATAATTCCTTTATTAAACTTTCCTCAAACGATTCCTTTTCCTCCGATTTTATTTTGTGCTGTTGGAAACTGAATCCGGGACCTCACGCATGGTAAAAAAATACTCTACAGATGAGCTACATCTCCAGCTTCAAATGACTTATTTGTAAATGTGTTATCGGTTTCTTATCAAGACTTTAACCTTTGATCCTCATCCTAAGTGAGCTACTAACATACTTTTATTCACAGCAGTTAGGAAGAGATGATGATATCATCTCAAGTAAGGATGTGTTTCTGAATTTCTTGGGAAAAATTCTCTCTCTTCACTAAGGAAACAAAAGTCACTTTTGACTTGCTTGGGTGTTTGCATAGGTAATATAGGGCTGTCAAGCTACCCAGGCTGTAATACAAATTGAAATTTGGCTATATTATGATGATGGTGTACTTACATATTGAACTCTTAAAATATAAAAAAGAATACAGAATAATAGTGCACATATTTTAATTGGAAATGAGCTTCTTGATAATACAGCATATGAAAAACATACATATTCCAATGGCTAAGAACTCCTACAGCACATTCTAAGTTGTGTGACAGAAAGAACTTTGGAGGAGCAAGGGTTGTAAAAATAATGAAAGAATAAAATAATCTTCTGGTCTTTAGACAAATAAGTTATTCTATGCAAAAGGAATGCTCTTCTCTATGCTATTAATTCCTGAAAGTTTTTTTTTTCTTTTTTCAAATCCACATTCCAAATAACCAAAGGGAAAGTCTGGCATATTATAGTTTCCAAAGCTCCTTTGTTTAGGCTATCATTTGTTTTAGGAGTGTTGATACATTTTTATTTTTGATTATGGAGTTGGTAAATTTTGCTGCATTACAGAAACCTAATTAGTGGTTTTCAAAGGGAAAGTTTAAAAAATTCTGTGCCTTCTTACTCAGGGATGTATCAGAATTGGAGAGAGACCACACAATAACTTCTGGCTTATGAAAGAATAAACCGTGAAGTTTTTATTCTCATTTTTTGTCATGATCTGAATGGGTCCTCTCCAAATTCATATGCTAAAATTTAATCACCCTTGTGATAGTGTTAAGAGCTCCCTAAGAGGTAATTTAAATAATAAGCCCTCATGAAAGGGATCAATGACTTTATAAAAAAGGTGCAATGGAAATGTTCATTCTCTGCCCTTATGCCTTTCTACGTGAGGACACAGCAAATGAAACAAGATCTGTCTCTGCCAGTATGTTTGTATCCTCATTAGTCTTTTCATGGTATTCTTTCTATTCATTAGCCTTTGGAGTTCGGGTGAATCTTTCTGTTTGCTTGGATGGGGGAGGGGTGTTTATAAGCTTAATAGCTTTAGAGATAAATTTCACACTTGTTTGACTGCCTTGTACTGCATGAAGAAGAAATCTAATTCTCAGCCTACTTTGGTAATGTCTGCTGGCTTCTGTGGGTATATTCTTCAGAGAATTGGTTGGTTCTCTATTTTGGAAGACACCTTGAGTGCCAAGCTCATGATATACTATAATCTACTTGGTCAGTTGACCTCTCACTGTGAGATTTTGTTTTCTGTAAGGGAAGTTTTTCTAGACTGTTTTAGAACCAACATTATTCTGTCCTATTCTGAAAGCATTTCACACTTGATAAGAAAGTAGAGCATTGTCCTCAATTCAATCCTTGGGAGGTATATTTGTCAGCTTTCCTGTTGCTGAACATAGTACCTGATACAATTTAAAGGAGGAAAATTTTAATTTAGCTCACGGATTGGGAAGATTCAGTCTATAGCCAGCTGGCTCCAAATCAGGAATATTATGGCAGAGAGTGTGGCTGAGCAGAGCTGCTAAATTCATAGTGGTGAGGGAGCAGAGGAGGGGAGCGATGCCAGAAAGGAACAGGGAGGGACGAGCGATAGTATTTAAGGCCTCACCTCTGTGACCCACCCAGACACTCAGTAGTGTGTTCCCCTAATTGACTAGTCTTTCTTAATCCAATGAGGTTAGCATATCAGGATTAACTGACACAGCAGGGTAATTAGGGGGGATAGTAGGGTTCTGCATGGCTGACATACTAGCTTGTCTCTACTAATTCCATCCATCGCTGCCTATTATTTTGTCCTAGATGGTGTTATCCAAACCAAGGGAGAGGCTGTCTAACTTCACACATCTCTTATTCCTTCCTTCTCCACTATCATCTATGTGGGACTCATCATATGGCTAATGCCAGAGAAAGTTTAATGTTATACAAGGTTGAAATCCAGGGGCTATATCTACAAAATTTCCATTTTAAAGTATGGGTCTTGGATCTAAAAAAAAAAAAAAAAATTAGTTGTCAGTAAAATCACATTCCTGGAGGAAGAAAATTTAGCTCTTATACAATTTCAATGTCATAAGCAAGAAGTCCTCCAATGGAAAATCCCAGATAAAAAGACACCTTTTCTATGCTTCTGCCACTTCTAAGTTGACCCAAGAAAGCGGGAGTGATGGGTATTGTGATTTTTTCATTGATTCCGTATTCTATGAATAAATTATTACTTTCAGCTCGTCCTTGTAAGCGAAGCAAAAGTTCTTGGACTTTTTTCTCCTTCCATACATCCCCACTTTGCCATAAGGAATTAATATCGGGCGTCTTTCCAAAGCATTGATCAATTTTTCCTTTGTGGACAAGTCTGTTCATATTGGTACCTTTTCCAAGAAAGAAATATGCAATTGGTTGCTTTGTACGATGCATATGCTTATATTGTCCCTTGAAAGACTTTTCCAGTGCTTGAGCATATTTTTCCATTTGTTTGGAATCTTGATCTAGTTGCTGGTTTTCTGGCCAGAATAAGAGTGAAGCTAGGAAATAAGGTTCTGAAAATCTGTAAGTTGTTCCTACTTGTTGTAAGATGTCTCTAAGTTGATCTTTCAGTTTTTTAATTGGCTTCACTAATTTGGAGATAGGCTTAATACATGAGAGAATAATGTTGGCCAAGATGAAATTTTGCTTTTCCTTTAACTGTATTCTGACAATGCATTGTTCAAAGAGAAAAGTGTATTTGTTCACTATATATTCCATAGTGCTTACAACATCTTCTTGACCTTTGATGAGATACTCTAAAAGTCCAGAAAACTTGTCTGCTTTTAAAGCTTCTAGGCTTCTCCGATTCCTCTCTACTTGAAGCGGCAAACTGATCTTCGATTCAAGATCTCTGTTTTGTGATTCTGAGGGACCAAATATATCTACATATTTCTTAAAATAGACAGCTACCTTTTTCCTAGTTTTGGCCTCTTCATTTTGCTTAATGTTGTTCCTGGGTTTTAGAAGGACAAAATAATCATCAAAAAAATCAAAGGACTTTTTCAAAGAAGATTGCAAAGTAGTAAGATAAGGAACAAATTTCTTGAGGGTGATTTTAAATTCGTTTAGATCCCCTGGAATATCACTACTTCCTGATATAAAATTGATCATAGCTCTTCTAGATAGTTCATTTTGCTTGTCAAAAAAAGGAACCAGCTGGAGAATCTGGATTGTGTATTGCCCCACTTCTATCTCCCCTAGGTAACCAGATATGTTGTAAGTGTCATACCTTCTTTTTGACTTCTGACCCAATCTTTCTTTCACCTCATGTTCTCTATCTTCACTTTGCTGTTGAGATTCTTTGAATGCATCTGAGGCATGCTCTGCTAATTCTAAAAGATCAGTTAGATCATTAACTGAAATGTTCTTGTTTCTTTCAGGGCCCTCTATCCACCATCTTATTTTACTTTTATATACTTGACCCAGTGTGTCTGAGATATAAGAGTTGTCAGGTTCTATCTTTTTTGCTTCATTTGCCCAATAAAGAGCATTGCTAAAATCTTTCTCTCTAATGTAGAAATGTCTTGCCAGGGCTTGGCAAATGAATGCATTTGGTTTGAACCGCTCGATACCTTGGCACAACACACCTTTAACTGCCTCATTTCCTTCATCTGTATGTAGTGCTTCAATGAAAGGGGAAAACCAAGTTCCTGTTTCACCTTCATGTTCATTCCGCTGTCTTGTGAGCAGCAGTGTTTGCACATCTTGGAAAAATTTGCTTCTTCCTAAGCCAGTGTCATAGAACAAATTTTCTGTCAGCATATCCAGCACAATTTGACTTTTATCCACATCATAGCTTTTCTTCAATTCTTTCAGAGAGAGGATTGCAATCAGAGGGTGAATGGTGCGCACTCCACAGTAGGTTCCACATTCTACCACCTCTGTTTTTATTAGGATTGTAGAGTAAGTGCCCATCTTGTCTTCAAACTTTTCTGTTCCCCAGAAAGCTGTCTTGTTTGCAATTCCTAAGTACATCTCACACTGTGATAACGAAATGGTGGTATGAGGAACATATGAATTAAGAAGAGCCAGAAAAGAAAAGAGCTTTGCTTCCTTGGTGGACTTATTCTGTCCTTTCAGAATATTTCTGACCACCTTTTCAATGTACTCTTTATTAAAATTTGTTTTCATGATCATAAAGGAATAAAAATCTTCAAAGTTTTTATGCTGTTCTTTAATTTCTTTCAATTTAAACTCAAAAGCTATCTGTTCTTTGGAGGTCAGTTTTTGTTTTAGGGCAATACTATCTGGGATCTTTGCACTTTTTTCAGGATTTTGTGATCTTGTGCAATTCAGGATGATCACTAGAGGTTTTTCATATCGAATATATTTTTGAGCTACAGCTTTTTGAATGGCACTCTGAAGAAGATAGACATTATCTTGTTCTTCAAAATCATCAACAAGGAGCAGTACAGGTAAGTATTCCTGATGATTTGTTGCCCCATAAGTGATTAAATCTGTCACTTGTTCTCCAATTTCAGAAAAATCTACTGTCTGGTTTTTCAGTACAGCACATCTGAATTTCTTCCTTAGTTCCCAGAGAACATGCATGGCCAAGGTAGTCCCCCCACAGCCTGGGTGATGGAACAAATGAATAATTTTGGCACATATTGGTTTAGAAGAATCTGCAGCATTTTGAATCATTTCTTCAAGTTTTTCGTATTTGTCTCTTTTGACGAAAGGTGAGGAATAATATTCTGAAAAGTAGAAGTTCCACCATGATACTTTGCCACCACGATAAAAGTCTTCTTCTTTTGATGCCTTGAATTCCAGTAATTTATTTTTGTCTTTGTGTAAGAGTGTACCTTCACATTCATTTACACAGAGAATTCCCAGAGCAGTCATATCTTCTTCCTTTTTCAGAAGGACAGTAGATGAACAGATAGATGGCAAAAGTCTCTCTGAAGACTGTGTTACAGATTTTAGTTTAAGAATAGTGCCATTTATCTGTTCAAGATTTAAAGCAGAAATACACTTGTCTGATAGTTCATCTTGCTTATTTGTTAATCTTGCTTCAAGTAGGTCTCTCCATCCTTGACATATGTTTGATTTCACACAAATACACAATATGTTTTCCATTCCTTTGAGATCTTGGTAGAAGGCACAGAAAGTCTCAATGAGAGGATCCCTTGGGTCATCCACACTGGAAAGTAATAGAAATACCACCAAAAACTTCCCTCTTGGCATTATGTCTTCACGTGTAAGAAATGAAACCAGTTTTCTGACTTCAGAAGCTCTTTCTTTTTGCCAGGAAACTGGATCTAAGGGTTCATATTTTTCACTGTCAAGATCTGACCTGCCATTGCAGAAAATCCAGCTGGGTTTCTGGTAAAGATTCAAACTAGAAATCTTCTCACTTAATGTGACTTTTTCTTCTATGAATTGACTTGGAGAGTGTAGGCTTGCTGCTCTGCTTTCTTTGAAAGATTTGAGAACTCCTTCTGTCTTAGATTCAGAATCAAACTCTAAAACAGCAAACCACTTAATTTCCTTTAGGAAATCTAAGTGTATTATTTGATCTGGATGGCATTTGTTTGTTACAAGAATGTACCAGTCGTAGTATGAATTATCTAATAAGTCTTGATTTCCTGTCAGCAGGGTTACCAGCTTTGACCCCTCACTATTGTTTTTATTTGTCTTTTGTTTGCATTTTTCTTCTGCTTCTTCCCTAGATACTGCCAATGATTTTAAATCTAACAGAAAGGCTTTAAAATCAGCTTTGTTTATTAAGACGTTCTTAGTGCTGGGACCATCTCGTACAAAGACTGAGTGTTTTGAACGTTGTTGCCATGTTTTGTTGTTGCAGTCTTGCATTTTGATCTGGAAATAGTCATGTTTACATACAGAATACTGTGGAACAACATCCACCTCAACCACAAATCTGTCAGATACAGTACTATTTGGGAGTAAAACTTCAACAAATCTTGGTTCTCGGATGCACTTCTTTGCTTGTTGGACCTGATGTGCTTCAAAATACTGATGGATCATCCAATTGAAGTGGTCAATTAGGGCTTCTTTGGTGACACTGGTGAATTTCACACCAACAATTTTTCCATGGGGTTTATCTTCAACTCCAAAATGAATAGTGCCATTGGTACGTGAATTCATACAAGCTGAAGCAAAACGGAAGGTCTCATTGCTAAATTTCATCTTTATATCCCCTTCTGTGGCTGTTTCTATATTTTTCAAGGCTTTGAATTCATGTACTGGGTCAATAAGATTGTGTGGTCCTGTTTCAGGTTGCAGGATGAAATGCAATTTATAACGATATGGATCACTGAATGTATTGAAAGGATATGGGGTACATGTAGGTTGGGTAATGTCATCTGGTGGATTTTCCATGAGTTCATTATTTAGTGACTTAGACTCTTTTGCCACTGGACTCACTTTAGAAGCATTAGCCATATCAGAGATCTTTTTGTCCTTTTGTTTTTGCTTTGAAGTCTCTCTACCTTCCTTTTGCCTCAAAGATTTCTTTGTAGGAGCATTTTTACTGCTTTTCTCTCCCTTGGATGTCTGAATAGGATCTTCAGAAGATGTCCTCTGCAGTTCTTTGAATAGCTCCTCTATTTGGATGGCTGGTCCATGTGTTATGCCCATATCAACAAGATGATTTTTATTTAGCCACTTCAAGATTGCTCCACTCACATCTTGTGCAATCAAAATTTCCCTGTGTTTTTGGTCAATATTATGACTCTCTAACCATCTGTTTACATCGTCTTTTGTCCAGTCATCTGGATTTTCTGGAAGCTTTAGCTCCTCTGCCATTGTGACACCTGTATATAGAAAAAGAAAAATGATTTGATATTGTACAAGTAAAAATTTAAAACAATCTTGCAATAGGTTTATGTTCATGTGTTGCAAAAGTTTAAAAGTTTCTATTACTAGTTTCTTGTATGCCTGTCAAGAAAAACACCATCAGATACAAATATATAAACACTTTTCTCTCACATGAATGGTAACGTACGATGTACAATTCTCTTTAATTACCTTTTTTTTTTTCAAAGTATATGTTTGGATGCTTCCAATGAGTATATTTAGAGATGTTTCATCCTTATTTGTGGTTGTTTGCTATAATGTATCTTTGCTGTATTATTCACAAATATTCAATTCTGTTCTAGAAAGTAAGGAAAAAGAATATATGAAACTAGAGAAGCAAGTAATTTGTGAAATATATTAGAATAAACATAAATGAACCAAATAGAGCATATGACTATTAAGTATAATTGGGAAGGAAAAGAGCCAAATGCACATTAAATTTTAAATGAGATGCACATGAAAGATTTAATAAATCTGAAGTATTAATTGGGTTACTCACTGGCAAAACCATTATGATCCTTTGTATCCTTTACTCAAGAAGATAAAATCCAAAGTAGCATAGCAGGCTAATTAACAGCCTATAGCTCTGGTCAAACACACTTTCCTCTCTGGATCCTATTGAGTAGAACAAATATATTTTCTATCTGTTCAACCTCTGATACACCTCAATTTTGAGCACAAAGATGAAGGTAAATTTTCTACATTTGAACCAACCCCCCGAAATAACACTATTTGACAATAGTAAGTTATGCATGAAGTAGTAGATCACAGATGTCACCAAAATGCCCTCGCAATAAGAAAAAATGATTAGGGAAGTTACACAAATTTATTTGTTGTTTTTTTTTTTTTTTGCAGTACTGAGTATTGATCTCAGGGACACTACCATTGGGCTACATTCTTGTCTCCTTAGCTGTTTTATTTTATTAGTTTTATTTTGAGATAGGGTTTCATTAAGTTGCCTAGGTGGCCTCAAATTTGTGATGATCCTTCCTCAGCCTCCCAAGTAGCTAGGATTATAGGTGTGTGCCACTATGTACAGCTGAAACTTGGAATCTAGGATTGTTCCAAATCTTTAACCATCACGACAGATAAAATCAAACCCCAATGAGGTAACACTCCATATTTTCCAGAATGGCTGAAATTAAAGACTTGTAACAGCAAATGCTGGTAAAAATGTGGAGTTAATGAGGTTCTCAGACATTACTGATGGGAATATAAATTGTTTCAGCTACTTTGAGAAATGATTTGACAGTTTTAATAATTAAATATGTACCTACTGTATGGTTCAACATTTCTAATGAAAATATTAAAGTACTGATGTGAAGGAAAACATATTGTAGGACTGCATTTATATGAAGTTCAAGAACAAGAAAAGTTAATCATGGAAGTCAGGACACTGGTTACATGTTGGTGGGAGATATTTTCTGGGAAAGGGCCCACGATCTTTAGCCTTTCAAGCATGACACTGGTTTCAGTGGACCCATTTCTTACTTTTCTACTGTAAATTTGTACCTGAGCATTATATTAACAAGCTGTGCATCTCAATACCTTCTCTGAGGGATTCAGGAATCAGTCAATGTGTTTACCCACTTGGTATGATGATCAGCAAGGTGTGTGCATATGTGCAAAAGGAGTAAAACAGGATTTTTACCTACATCATGCTCCATCTAGCTGGTTTTGTGTATGTTTATCTGAGTATCACAAAGGGTCCAGTAGACCTACATCCTTGCAGGACTTGTTAAAAACAACACACACCCACCTCCATTTTTAAAGGTTTTCTGTTAGAAGTAGCCCAGTTCAGTACAACGGCGCACACACACACACACACACACACACACACGCACACAAACAAAAAACCCAGATATGCCAAGTTTTCTTAGAGGTCAAAAGTGAATCATCAGATTACTCATGCGTGGATGATGAAGATGATCCATTATGGTACAATACATGTTTTCATAAGAGAAGAGTGGTGTGGGTAAACGATGATGATGATGATGATGATGACGACTCTGACATTGGTCATGTCAGCCAAAGTTCCTGTGATAGTGAAATGAGCAGGAATCGACTGATACAGACACAGGGAATGCAGATCTCCTTGATTCAGATGATGAAGAAGATAGCAATGTCAATACACACTTGGCTAGTGGAAATGTTGCAATACTGCCACAAAACCAAATGAAATGGTCCAATATTAGAACTGGTCCAGAAATATAGTGAGGGTCTTAGCAGGGGTGAAATATATTGGCCAGAATGCCAGCACTGTCATTCAATGTTGGAAACTGTAACAGACAAAATGCTACAAGATACTGTGAAATACATAAAGGCTGAAAAGTAGGTAAAATATTCTGTACATACCAATAGCCATGTTAAAAATGTGTTTATTTAAAAAATGTGTTTATTATGATATATCACTAGCTGAATTGAAAGCATTCATAAGTCTGCTGTACCTAGAAGAGATTTCTCATGGTAAATGAAGAAATGCAAAAGACTTATGGAAAAGTGACGGATCAAAATATGGCACAAAAATTTATGCCCTTGTAGATGTGAAGATTTACAGTGCTTTTAGACATTGATCCTGGAACTCAGCCATCAAGTTCTTTTTTTGTATGTAATAAACCAAATGATGTGTGAATATATTTGCTGTTCCCATCTCCCAAACTAGTCAGAGTGTGACATTTGACAGTATACCAGTTTGCAAATGATGTCACATTTGCTAACAGAATACAAGTAGACCATCACAGTAAGTGTATGCAGGAAGAAAGCAGACATTCCAAATAAAATGTTGCAATTTCAAAGCAGAGAATTATATAATTCTTGAATTTTTGAATTTCAGGAAGATTTACATTGGCCTCTTACAGGGAAAAGAAAAACAAACTAGTACTGCTGATGTTAACATTGCACCATTATGGAAATATTGATAGGGAAACCTCGAAAAAACAGAAGCCTGAGATGAAAACTTTCTACAACAAAACCAAAAGTCGAATAGATATTGTTGATGAGTTATGCAGCAATTATGATGTCACTTGAGACACAAAGCATTGGCCAATGGTTGTGTTTTACTCAATCCTAAACATGTATGGCATAAATAGTTTGGTAGTTAACAAAGAAAATAATAAATAAGAACCAAGATACATCATGTAAGGGCACAAGATCCCAATGATGAATGTAACTGTACTATATCCTAAAAAGTACCAATAAACTCAATGAAAAAAAATAGAGAAGAGAGAGATGAATGGTTTAAAACTCTAGCTTCCAGGTAGCCTCAGCAAATATCTTAAAGCCTAATTTAACATGGAAAGGTGGCTCCTTGATTCTTTTCTAATACAACCACAAGAGAGTAAAAAATGAAAACAGTAAGTACAAAATATCATGGAGAAATTTTCTTAGAGGTCTGGGGGTGGAATTCAAGAGAGATCATTTATAAGAGAGGAAAAAACAAAATGTTTCTGTCCAGGGAATTACACAAAAATTATGGAGCACACAGGTGAGCTGACAGGTGAACAGGCAGGTGCAGCATCACAAACACCTACTATGATAACCTGAAAACCAAAAATATGTGAACTGTGCCCTACAAGAAAGGATAGGAAAACAAAACATGCATGCTCTCAGTGGAAGTGATACTTGTATATGGAACATGCAGTTGTCATGTGTGAAGTCTCCTTGATGTGCCATTTGAAGCAAAGATTATTTCTGTGGTAGACTTTGTTTACTTTGTTGTTCACATAGGTCTTTATTTCTGAAGTTATCTCTTAGGTCTTTGTAAGCAAGTAAATAGCTGTTGTGAAAATTGATGTCTATTCTAAGCACTCACTACTTATTTTATTATTTTATTTTATTGATATTTTATTTCCCTGCTAAGTGCATGTTGCACAATATAGTAGAAAGCTTCTGACAAAACAGGAAGAGAAGACAGGTGACAAGACTCCCACATAGGAAAGGAAAGCTAGGCACATGTACCATCATTGTAAGTGAGATGTGTGCACGGAACATGTAGCTGTCTTGTGTGAAGACTGCCTGCATGACAGTTGAAGAAAGCTTATTTTTGTTGTAGAGTTCTGTTGGTAAGTCCTATTGTAGTTCATTTAGGAATTTATTTCTGATGTTATCTTTTAGGTTTTGTAAGCAAGTACACAGCTGATGTGAAAATGTTGATGCCTATTCTAAATGCACAATATATATTAAGAATTTAATACTGTATTTTATTGATATTTTATGCTCCTGTTAATTACACACTATATAAGAAAGTCCTGACAAAACATCAAGGCCAGTGAGATGTCAAGTATGTCATACAAAAAGGCTAGGAAAGCAAACACATGTGCTGTCAGTATAAGTGACAGATGTATATGGAACATGCATTTGTCTTGTGTGAAGACTGCCTTAGGTGTGATAATTGAAATAAAGATATTTGTTGATAAAATGCTACTGGTATTTTCATTGTATTTCATGTAAGAATTTATTTATGTGTTTCATTTTTAGACTTTGTATACCAAAACACAGTTGATGTTGAAAATTTTGATGCTTTTTATAAACAAATATTAAAAGTTCAATACTTTATTTTTGTGATTTATTTTCCCATTAACTATTCATTGTTTAATATAATAAACTCATAAATTTAAAATTAATAATTCATCATATAAATATTATAAAGAATAAACCCAAGTTTATGCACCTTTATGGCAAAATTAGTGTTATACTCCATTTATTTGTAGGTGGTTACACAGATTATATATAGAGAAACTTTATAAAACTCTACTAAAATTTGTTCATTTCACATAAATTATACTTTATGTAAAAAGCCAATGATGCCTTCAAAATACAATGATAAAATAGATGAATAAAATAAAAGTGGTAGCTACATGGCAAAAAGATGATAATATGTTATAAACTGAGAATGATTAACTTAATTTTGAATACCTAAAGTTTTATTAACTATTTCTTATTTTGATTTCAGACTACATGAGTACTTGTTGACCTTTACAACATAACCACAATTGATAATTGATGATTTAAAACTTTTTCTCTAAAACTTTATTTCAAAATTATTTACCTCACCACTAATAAGGTATATCATTAATTCGCTTCACCAGTGTCACCAGGCAATGAACTCATTTTCTGGTACCCAGAAATTAAATCACTCTTCAAAATGTACCAAACTCTCAATAGTTGAGGAGTTTTATATGAATTATTTTCCCACCATTCTTTAAATCTGAACTTATATTAGTAACCTACATCAGTGGATGTTAAAATGAAGTCATTTTAAAACAAATTATAACTTTATAACTTTACAAATTAAAATACCACTATCTAATATTGGATAAGAGTATCTTAAAACACTAATTAAAATTATATATTACCTATATACACTAAATATAGTTATATATTACCTTGAAATCTGAAAAGTTACATTTCATATTTGTGTATTTTTATTTTAGAGACAGAAACTTCACAGAATTAATAGAAATAAAGTTTTAAATATTCAGCTCTGAAAATAAAATTCAGCTTTGTATGTTAGTTCCAATTATCTCTACTTTACAACCCTTAAGGCTTTGTGTTATATTGTTCAGTAGCAAAAAGACCTATAAAACTTTCAAGCTAATTTTCTTATTCATCTTATTTCTTAGTTTCTTTTCTCTCATTGCTGAGACAAAATACTCAACATCCACAAATTAAAGGAAGAAAGGTTTATTTAGATCCTGGTTTGTAGAGGTTTTAATCCATGACTGGCTGGCTCCAAGGCAGGGTGGCTTGGCAGAGGGGCATCTCAGATAAGAACCAGTTTATGGCATGCATAAGACAGCAAAAGCAAGCAAGGGATGACCACAGCTCTTTCTGTCCTTATATTCTATCCAGGCTACCCACCCTGAGGGCAGATACTGCTCACACACACCTTTATTTCTATTGCCCTTGATTCCAGCATTGAACCATGAATAAATCCCAGGATCACATACTCTAGATTCAGCCACCTCTGAAAAGCCCCACCTATGACAGCATGAGGTTTTGTGGGGACATCTAAACACAATCATTAATATCCCTTGTTTTGTTTGTTTTTAGGTATAAGTTTAAGAAAATGCTTTATAAATCCTATTTTCAAAACTTGAAGAGGAATACTCTTTTTTCTAGTGAAACTCTCTAGAAATTTGGGCTGTGCCTTTTTATTTTCATTGGATAGATTTAAAAAAAATTCTTACACCATGAATTCAGATTGTCAGTCTCTAAACTGAATTTATAACAATGCAATATTATAAGTAACCTAATAATGACTTGTCCATCTTTTCTTTCCATTTCAAATTTCAGAAATATAGAGAGGAGATCCTGGCAAGCAGCAGTGTGGAACAAAGTGGAGCAGCTGCAGGCAGATCCAGCCAGGGCCCCACCCCAACCCCAGCGGCTTGGGCGCTTGGGCCCAAGCCAAAGGCCCATGGGGAAAAGAACTGTACAGACACACAAGCAACAGCCAGTGGCTTACCCTGATGCGATTGGTAAGTACATGGAGACCCTAGCCAGAAGCCTGCTCAGACATGAGGGACTGGGGAACACTGACCCCAGCCAAAGGCCTTCCCAAACAATAGCTACATAGTGGGGACAGGCCCTAGCATAGGCACTCCTGGGTACCATACCAAGTATACACAGGCCCCAGCCAGAAGTCCACCCAGACAACAGGTTAGCTCAGGGATCCAGAAGCAACCATTCTGAATCCAGGAATTGGTGCACTGGTGAGCAGCAGATAAAAGGACACTCAATGGTTGCTGAGAATTGAAGATCACTGGGTGAGCAAAAAGCTGCCTCAACAGAAACACAGCAGGCTGCATCTATTGAAATGAGAAGACACATAAACAAGTCTTAAAATCAGATTTCAAGATCACCTAAGGAAACGGGGAAAGGAGATGGAATAATCTGATATTCAACCACTTCGTCTCCCTGAATTAGCAATGAAAGAGGACCTGGAAAAAATGAGATCAGAAATAATTTCTCAGATAACAGCAGAGATTGTGCCCATAGTGCAAGACATGATTAATAAATATGGAGTAGACACAGATTTTAAAAAATGGAGAATCTGAGGAACATGATAGAATCCCAACATAGAAAAAAAATGGAATCCATAAAACAAATGCAAATAGATTTTCAAAAACTCTCCATTGAAAGTTTACACAGCAGAATGAGCCAATGTGAGGACAGAATTTCAGATATAGAAGACAGGATTGCAATTAGTGACCAGAAAAATAAAAATTTTCAGAAAATAGTAAGTGACCACAAGAAATCAATCCAGCAACTGCTAGATGATGCAAAGAAGAACATAAGACTGATCAGAGTCAATGAAGAAATAGGAGAGTAAAGATGACATTAAAAAAAAAAAAAAACTGTTCACCGAAGTAATGACAGAGGGGCTGGAGATTAGCTCAGTGGTGCCACCTGCCTTGCAATCACAAGGACCCAAATTCAATCCCCAGTAGCCCCGCAAAGAAAAGGAATGGCAGAAAACTTCCCAAATAGGGGAAAAGAACTTGACATACAGATAAGTGATGTATATAGATCTCCAACTAATCATGATAAAAAGATCTATACATAGGCATATAATAGTTAACATTCCAGAAACTCAAGAGAAGAATAAACTTCTATAAGCAGTTAGAAAACAAAAACAAAAACAAAAAACAATCATATACAAAGGAAAGCCCATCAGAATCACAGCAGACTCCTCAACACAAACCCTCAAGGCAAGAAGAGCCTGGAATAAAGTATTTCGAGCCCTAAAGGAAAACAACCTCCAACTAGATTGATGTACCATGCAAAATTATCTTTCAAAATTGATGGAGAAATAAGATACTTTCATGACAAAGAATACCTGAGGAACTTCATGAATAATAAACCAGCACTCCAAAAATTTTTAAATAATATTCTAGGAAAAGATGATGAGGATAACAATCCCAGGAAGTCCAGCAGAATGAATCCATCAGGCATGACAAGAAATTAAGTGCAAAGGGGAAGAACTCAACAAAAAGAAAAAGTAATGACAAGAATAAGACAATACATATCAGTTATAGCCATCAATGTTAATGATCTCAATTCACCAATCAAAAGAAATAGACTTGCAGAATAAGTCAAGAAGCAAGATACAACAATATGCTGCATACAACAAAAACACTAATTCAAAAGAAACTCATAGCCTGAAAGTGAAGGGGTGGAAAACAATACTCCATATCACAGGAGCCTGGAAAAAAAAAAAGCAGGAGTAGCTATCCTTTTTGCAGATCAAATGGATTCCAAACCAACACTGATTAAGAGAGACAAATAAGGACACAGCAACCTTGTAAAGGGAACAATCCAAGAGGAAGAGATTACAATCATAAATATATATGCACCAAATACTAGTGCACCCAACTATATAAAACAAATACTAACAGATATGATAAATCAAATGAGCACTAATACAATATTAGTGGGGGACCTCAATACCCCACTGTCACAAATAGATAGATCAACTAGACAAAAAATAAAGAAATACTAAAGCTCAATCAAACTCTTGAACAAATGAATTTAATAGATGTTTACAGAGTGTTCCACTGTACAAAAACAGAATTAACATTCTTTTCAGCTGCACACAGGTCATTCTCCAAAACAGACTACATACTCACTCATAGAACATGTTTAATTAAATGCAAAGGAATGGAAGTTATCCCCTGTATATTATCAGATCATAGTGCAATGAAATTAGAGATCAATATCAAAAGAAATAGCAAGAATTTCATAAAGACATAGAAATTGAAAAACACATTTCTGAATAACCAATGGGTCACACAGGAAATTAAAGAAGAAATCAGATGATTTCTATAATTAAATGACAATGTCAATAAGACACATCAAATCTAGGAGACATAAAGAAAGCATTCTTATGAAGGAAATTCATAGCAATGAATACTCATATTAGGAAAACAGAGTGACCTCAATTAAACAACCTGATGCTGAACCTCAAGTTTCTAGAAAAAGAAGAGCAAGAGAAATCCAAAGCTTACACAGTGGAGGAAATTATGAAGATTAGAGCAGAAATCAGTGCAATGGAGACTAAGAACAATACAAAAATTAATGAAGCAGAGTTGGTTCTTCAAAAGAATAAACAAAATTGACAAACCCTTAGCCAACCTTATCAAAAAAGGAAAGAAAAGGCCAAATCCATGCAATTAGGAATTAAAAGGATGAAATTTCAACAGACCCAGCAGAAATCCAGAGGATCATCAATACCTACTTTAACAACCTATAAGCAAATAAGGTGGAAAACACAGAAGGGATGGACAGATTTCTAGATATGTATGAATTACCAAAGTTGAATGAAGGACACCTAAAAATTCTAAGCAACCCAATACCAATCCATGAAATTGAAAATGTAATTATAAACTTACCAACTAAGAAAAGCCTAGGTTCTGATGGTTTCACTGCTGAATTCTACAAGACATTTAGAGAAGAACTATTTTCATTACTGTTTAAACTCTTTAATGAAATTGAGAGGGAAGCAATACTCCCAAATTCATTCTCGCAGGCAAGCATCAACTTGGTCCCCAAAGCAGAGAAAGACCCAACTGAAAAAGAGAACTACAGGCCAATCTCACTAAGGAACACAGATGCAAACATCCTTAAGAAGATACTGGCAAATAAAATGCAGAAGAGCATCAAGAAGATTATACACCCTTACCAAGTTGGATTCATCCCAGGGATGCAGGGATGGTTCAACATACACAAATCAATAAACGTAATATACTATATTAATAGAACCAAGGACAAAAACCACATGACCATCTCAATAGATGCAGAAAAAACATTTGACAAAATCCAACATATATTCATGACAAAAACCCTACAAAAATTGGAGTAGATGGGGGCAGGAGATTTGATCAGTGGTACCACGCCTGCCTTACAAGTGCAAGGTCCTGAGTTCAATTCTTAATACAAAAATTACAAAAAGGAATAGACAGTTTCTACCTCAATCTGATAAAAGCTGTCTATGAAAAACCAACAGCCAACATTATACCAAATGGTCAAAAACTGAAATCCTTCACACTAAAATTAGAAACAAGACAAGGATGTCCACTATTAACACTCCTTTTCAATATAGTTTTGGAAACATTAGCCACTGCAATTAGGCAAGAGAAAGAAATAAAAGGAATAAAGATAGGAAATGAAGTCAAATTCTCTTTATTTTCAGATGACATGATACTCTAGATAGAAGACCCGAAGAACTCAACCAAAAGTCCTCTAGACTTCATAACAAAATTCAGCAAAGTAGCTGGATACAAGGTCAGCTATATGAGAAACACATTCACTGAGAGAGAAATGGGGCAAACAATTCCTTTCACAATAGCATCCAACCAATTGAAATACCTAGGAATCAACCTAACAAATGAAATCAAAGACTTCTACTCTGAAAACTACAGCACTCTGAAAAAGAGACTGAAGACGATATCAGGAAATGAAAAGACATCCCTTGTTCCTGGGTAGGAAGAACCAACATAGTGAAAATGGCCAGAATTTCCAAACTGCTATATTGATTCAGTGCATTCGCAATTAAAATTCCAGCAGAATATTTCATGGGCACTGAGAAAATAATCCAAAAACTCATTTGGAACAAGAAGAAACCTATAATAGCAAAGGCAATTCTGGGCAACAGAGACATGACAGTGGGTATCACAATCCCCAAATTCAAACTATACTACAAAGCTACTGTGATAAAAACAGCACAGTACTGGCAAAGAAACAGACCTGAGGACCAGTGGAACAGAATAGAAGATGCAGAAACTACTCCAGACACACTCAGCTACCTCATCTTTGACCAAGGAACCAAACATCATCACTGGAGGAAAGATAGCCTCTTAGTAAGTGGTGCTGGAAAAGTTGGATTTCAATTTGTCAAAGATTAAAACTAGACCTATGTCTTTCACCATGCGCTAAACTAAAATTGAAACAGATCAAAGATCTAAATATTAAAACAGAAACACTAAACTGGCTGGAAGAGAGGTTAGGTAGAACTGTTGAAGACACTGGGGTAGGAAAAGATTTTATGAACAAAACCTCAGTTGCATGTGAACTAGCACAAAGAATCAACAAGTGGGGTCTCTTCTTATTAAAAAGTGTCTGCACAACAAGAGAAACCACCAACAGTGTGAAGAGACAACCCCCAAAGTGGGACAAAATTTTTACCAGCTGTTCCTCAGACAAAGGCCTACTAATTAGAATATACACAGAACTTAAAATATCAGACCTCCCAAGTTTAAAGATCCAATCCAAAAATGGGCATCTGAAATGAACAGACATTTCCAAAACAAAGAAGTAGAAATAGCAAATAAACATATGAAAAAATGTTCAACATCACTGATAACTTAACAGATGCTAATTAAAAGAATGCTGAGATTCCACCTCACCCCCGAAAGAATGGCTGCTGTCAGGAAATCAATCAATAGCAAGTGCTGGTGGGGGTGTGGAGAAAGAGGAACACTTCTCCACTGCTTGCAGGATTGTTGACTGGTGCAACCACTGTGGAAATCAGAAAGGAGAAACCTCAAAGAACAGGATTGGAGGTCCCATTTGACCCAGCTATTCCCCTGATGGGTATCTCCCCAAAAGAATTAAAAGAATCATACCATAGTGATGTATGTGCACCCATGTTCATAGTGGCACAGTTTGCAATAGCTAAAAGTTGGAAGCAGCCCATTTGCCCATCAACCAGAGATTGGATAAAGGAAATGTACTTTAAAAATTGAGTTATATTCAGCCATAAATAATGAGAAACTGGAGACATTTATAGCTCAATGGATGCACATTTTGAGTGGATACTCTTAAGTAAAATAAATAGGACACACATGTAAATACTGAATAGTTTTTCTGGTGTGAGAAACTGAAAGTTTAAACATGGACTGAAAATTATAATAGGTAATGTGAAATAGGGAAAAGGGGCAAAGGGGAAGGGGAATTTGGAGGGGTAGGGAAAGGAAAGAAGGGAATGGAATTAATATGAGAAAATGAACAAAATGGAAGCAAAGTCTTTGTGTATAGGGAGAGGTGGAGGTAATGAAGGGAGGGCAGGGAAATGGGGAAAAATATAAGAATCAAGATGGATTATGTCAAGGTAGAAATTTACTATGATGAATGTCATTATACTGTATACCTAAAATGTACCAATAAAAGTGATTTAAAAATGGAGACAGAACCCCTATGATATTCAAAAGAACTATCTCCCCATTTCCTGTGTTCTATCTTTTATTGTACTCTTTAAATTATATTTTTGGTTTCTCATATAAGACAGACCATGTTATATTTAAGCTTGTGTGTCTGATTTATTTCACTTACTATTACAGTCTCGAAGTACACCCATTTTCCTGCAAATGACTCAAATCTGTTCTATGAAGAACTCAAATCTGTTCAGTAATGAACAGGGAAAGGAAAAGAGAGGTAGGTGAAGTAAAAATAATTAAGGTATGTTATGTACATGTTCCAATTCCCCATGATGAACATAATTATTATGTACTGCCAACATGTACTAATAAAAAATAAAATAAAATATGGAAAGAAGAAAAAAGTTAACCAAAAAAGTTTAATTTATACTTTAAACTAAAATGCAAACAGTGCAATAACCAGCTTTTTCAAAGGCATCTCCCATAGCATGTTGAACATAATCCACCATGGACTTAGTAAGAGTGCTCAACTCCTACAGCTACATCCACAGCTCCCAAATGAATCATGTTTTCTACACTAGAAGCCTCATCGATGCTAGAGTCTCTGTTCACAGGTCATTACAGTAACTTTTGTCACTTCTGGCCTGGACTTAAAGCAACCCTCCTTTCTTCTGACAGAGCGCGTGATTCATTGCATCATGTTTAAAAACTAAACTTCATGGTCAGAGTGGTATAATGTTTTACAGACCCTTTAATATCATGTAAGTATGTTTAGTATCAGTTAGACCACAAGAAGATTCTGAGTCACATTAAGGCAGAGAGAGTTGATATTTTTCTATCTTTGCAAAAGCCTATCTTGGCTACTTTCTAGCATCTGTTTCATCATATTTTTCTAATCTGACCGATCAAAATACTGAGAAAAAAAATGTATCGCAAAAAAGCAACAACTTCCACATCTTTTGCCCAATGACTTTCTTCATTCTTAGGAAATGATTGAGCCATGTAAAAAAGCTACTGAAGAACCAAGAATTTAAATCTACAAGTCTGTCAGTCACTGTTTCCTCCTTCAAGCACCAAAAATGACCAAGCAATAAGGAAAGGGAGTTAGACATGAAAGGACAGTACTCACACTGTTTGCTTGTTTTTGATTGTACTAGGGATTGAACCCAGGGCCTCCCAGAGTCCAGGGATTATGACTGTGTGCCCGTGTGACTGGTTTTGTACTTGTTTAACACCTGACCCTACTCTTTTCTAGTAATATTTGTTTGTAGATGAAAATCTCTTTTCTCACATGAATCCAGTCTGATGAGTCCCAAATACTCCACCTTGAAAGTACAGCTCACTTATTGATACCAGGCTGAATGCACCTGACTCATCTGAAAATACAGCTCATTTCTGTTTCATTCACAGTACTGTGACTCACAAGGCACAGTATGGGTTGTGTTATAGCCAGTCTGACCATTCTGCAGTTGGGTGTGCCCAGGCTCCCAAGGCTGTCATATTGGGTGTTCTCATGTCCCCTCTCTTGCTCCATTTTATGAGGCCACTTTCCTGAGGTCCCCTTATCTTCCTCCATCAGCTGGTATCTCTCAGTTTTACTCACTCAATCCTGGTACCTCAGGTGATCTACCATAGCAGAGATTATGAGACCAAGTGGTTGATTTATACCTGAACTGCATCTTACATACATGTGAAAACACAAAGCCAGGTTCTCATATAAGGGTTGGAGTGATAAAAAGCTGGTCTTGAATACTTGGGTGAGAAAGTAAGCAAATAAAAAGGAATTCACTCTTTTCTTTCAAAAATTATGGATATTTTAATTATGGTTAAATGTTTTTTACACTGGTTCCTTTAAAGCCTCTGTTGGAGTCTTGATAGCTATGACTTTCAATAAATCATTTAGAAATAGTTGAAGATGCCACTTTTGCAGAATATACACTAGAAGAATGTTTTTTCCACTGTTCATAGATATTTTTCATATCAATGATATTTTTTTAACACCCTCTGTATTCCAAAATGTTTTTAGGTTATTAGAAAGTGGAACAAGGTGACAGTTATATTAAAATCCCTAAGGAAAGAAATCAGGGTAAGACTAACCAGGAGTAGGAGGGGAAAAAAAGGTATATAAACATAATAATGCCTAATATAACAGTGTTTTATTTTATCTACTTTAAAAAGTTGGTCTAAAAAGTTATTTTCGAGCTTCTTAGCAACTGACATAGGAGAAAGGGCATGGTAACGTAGGCTGGAGAAATGAGCAGGAGCTGTCAGTTACAAGATCCCAGGGCAGCACGAGTGCCCCATATATAGAACTTCCCAGGGGTGTAGATGACATAAAGGAAGTGTAGCCATCACAGAAAGCTGCTCTTGTAGGTTTCTGTGATAGCAGTTCTGTGTTTACCAAATGCATGTGCTTTAATTTTTGATTTCTCTTTTTTTTTTCTTTGTTCAACTTGTTTGCTCAGTGGAACTGGTTTCTCCCATACTCATTCACCCTCAACTTTTCAAACAAACGTTTTGGCACAGTTACTGGCTTGTCTCATCCAGTTCTTGGTTTGAGGCAAGAAAACCCTGGAATACTTTTGATTTGGTGAGCCATTTCTAAAGAAATGGCCTATAATACAACCCATGTAAAAACATGGAAACACAATGTTTTACTTAATCGAATCCACATGCATTTGGAAATTATTGAGTTAACTGTGACATTTGGTAGCATTGGTAAGAGGGGTTCTTATTTAGATATGCAATCCTCCTATATCAATGAATTACTTTCTTGATTATTTTGGAGGAATTCAAATATGCACCTATGATTCTGAGCAGAAAAATAAAGCTAACATAATTCCAAGGTCTTCCTGTAGTTGTCTGTCAGTCTTTGTCTCTCATAGACTTATCTCATTTTATACTAATATCTGAGGAACTAACAAGAACTTCTGTTTTCTAAACTGCTCATTTCTTAGCGTACATGGTGATTACATTAATCTTTGATTAGTTTAAATTTTCATTTTCTGTTCTTTCTGCAGATGCAATTATGCCTTGGAGGATTTCATCCATAAAATTACTTCTAGTTTTCAAAGATGAAAAAAATTTTATGGAATGCTATGACTCATTTTCAACTAATACAAAGCAGACTCCTATTGCAGCAACAAATAGTCTAGAAGTTCTAGGCTTAGAAAGTTATTAATTTTGGTTTTGTGCCATTTTTTAATTTGCAATTGCAAAGTAGATTTAACACATTGCTGTTATAGATGCTAAGGATATTTATTAATAAAGAGAGATTCTACTTACTCAGATCTTCAAATTTCTTCTATGTAAAAAAGGGAAAACAGTTTTTTGGAGTGCAGAAAACACCCGATGTCTGTGTTTTCCTCCTCCTGTGATGTTAGAAAAAATATATTCTTTGTTTCTGTTTTACTTCAAGCTTATGTGTCTTCTACTTCCTCCTCAATGCAAGCTCTAATTGGCTAAGCAAAAAAGAAAAAAAAAAAAGAAAGAAAATAACCAAGCCACATCCTGGTATGCGAGGGGAAGAGTGAATTATGACTAGATTTCAGTTTCATTTCCCAGCTCTGAGAAGTCTTTTCTCTGAAATCCTCTTTAGTAGTGACTCTGCCACCTTCTGGTACGTTTAGTTAAAGACTTGGAGTTCACTTCTCTGCTTGAGAGCTATGAGGGCTACAGAGACCCCTACTGTCTTGGCTGAGGGATAATCTGCCTTAATTGATCCTTTGGGGATACTGCCTTACATTTCTTTATTTCTTTCATTAAAATATTGTTTTAGTCTATTTTCTGTTGCTATCATGGATATCAAATACTGAGTAGTTTATAAAGAAAAGGAATGCATTTCTTACAGCTTTTGAGGTTTTGAAGTTCAAGGTTGAGGAGCTACCTCTGGTGAGAGCCTTCTTAAGGTGGGAACTCTTGCAGAATCCCAAGGTGGTACAGGGAGGTAGAGAGGTAGAGCAAGCTTGCTTGAGTCTGTCTTTCTCTTCTCCTAAAGCCACTATGGAAATCATGAGGACTATATCCTCATGACAGATCTAATCTTAATTACTGCCCCAAAGGATCCACCTCCAAATAGCATTAATACTGACCTTGGGTATTAAATTTCAACATGAGTTTGGAAAGATACGAACACAGACCATAGCATTGATTGTATGCAAGTTACACTTCAATAAAGCTAGCATTTGTGTAGCATGCAAATGTTTATTAGTAAAATTTGCTTTTGTAATTAATATTTATAATGTCTATACTATATAAGAACACTGCTGCAAAGGAGTTGTAAGGCATGTATATAATTCTAAGATGCTAACTGATAATTTCCAGATCCTTAATTGCCTAGAAGTATCACTTGGAAAATTCACAAACCTTCTCAAGAGAAGAAACTTTTATTTCTGAGACAGAATAAGGAGAAGGAACCTGGACTAGCACTCACAGTTGGGCCATGATATTTACTATTTAAACACTAACATTAACCATATTGCCAGGATGACAAAGACATACAATCAACGTGTAATTATACATGAACAGAGATTTTAAAAAATGAACATTGCCAAGCCATAAACATAACCAAAGATCTGCCTGTCCTGGCTAGCATGAGTAATTTTGTTTTCATTACCAATCCTAGTTTAAGTTTCATTCTGTTCTTCTCACTTCCTAGGAGAGAGTTATTGTCCTTCTTTCTGTATCACATCCAATCCAGAGCATAGTCCCACTAGGTGAACTCTCTCCCCAAATCACCTAACACAAGCCAGGAGCTTTTAGGATATAGCAATCTCATAGCAAGTCCTTCATAGCACCCTCTGGCTGAGACCCCCATACCACTCTCTTTATAATGAGTCAGTAAATTCAACTTTGTTTAATTACAGATATATTTCTGGTGATCTTTGGTTGAAGGGCATTGGCACTTCAAGCATAAATCTTGCTTAGTTTTAAAAATTATAAACTGACAATGTATAATTATGTAAATTTACGGGGTACAAAGTGATGTTAAGAAGAATACAATATACAATGGTTAAATTATGCTAAGTTGAATTAGCCAGGCACGCACCACAGTTCTCACATATATATGGACTCTATAACAATTGGAGTCACAAAAGCAAGGAGAGAGCAGTGATTCCAGGGGCTGGGTGTGGGAGGAATGGAGAGATGATGGCCAAAGGGCACAAGTTCTCAAACAGGAGGATTATATTTGTAGAGATCATTTGCATATTGTGGTGAATGAAGTTAACAAAGTATGTTTCAAAAATACTGTTGAAGCAAGACTTAAAGAAAAGCAATACTTGGGTAGCCCCCCTATTACCTCCTACTCTGTAGCTCTAACTCCTTGTTTTGCTACAGGTAAGGTAAACAAGATTCTTGCTTAGAGTCCAGGGATTACCTGACTCCTCAGGAATATTCCTTTCCTCGAGGCTGGCCTTCCGCCTGGTACTAATAGGGCATCTTCACACTAATCCTGGGGTGTGGCTTGTATTAACTGAGGTCTTATTTGATGTTTGAGAGGGATTCTCTGCTAAAGATCAAGAGAGGTTCTGGGTCTTCTTCAAATCTTCTTCTAAGCTTTTTGTTGGAATGAGATAGGCTTATTGCTTTAAAATTATTTTTTAAAGTCAAACACTAATGATTCTCATTTATAGAAAAAATTAAAATTATTTTAAGTATAAAAAAACCCCAGTATACATTTAGCCCAGTTTAGTTGCATATTCTTTTTTTTTTTTTTTTTTAAACAGGGTCTCACTATGTAGTTGAGACTGCCCTGGAACTCACTATGTAGCCCAGGCTGATCTTGAATTCACAGTGATCCTCCTACCTCAGCCTCCCGAGTGCTGGGATTATAGGCGTGTGCCACCACGCCCAGCTAGTTGCACATACTTTAGGTTTTGCTATTTCTAGTGTAGTCTGAAGATCCCTTTCTTGAAAGAAAATTGTCCAGTATTAATCAATATTTATATTTGGGCAGTAATTGTTCACATTCAAGAAACTAACTAGATTCAGTCAATTTGTAGATTTTTAATTGATTTTATTAAAAATTATTGACTGATAAAAAATGATTAGATCCATGTGTACCACCAGTGGTATAATCTGCTCAATGGTACAGTCATGTGTGTACCATCAGTGATTCTGTGATAGCTAACCCGACTTCATTTTGAAACTTACCACCATTTTGTGCTGGACAAAGCACCTAGAAGCTACATCCTGTTTGGCAGAAAACTTGCTGCTGTTGCAAGGTGTTTTTTGTAGCTTGCACAGTATGTGAAACTTCCATATGCCCCTCACAAATATGGCATGATTGTGCTTCTGTAAAATTCTGCTTGCCCGCCCCTCGAGGCCTCCTCAACTAAAAGCATAGTTTAAAAAGGAGAAACCAAACTGCTTCTCGAGGCTGACACCCCGCCCCTGGCCGCTGGCTTCAAATAAGTGGACTCAAATCTGACTCAAAGTGCGGCGCTCCCCTATTATTCCAACTCAGAATGGTTCGAGCCAGTGGGAACACGTTAAATGAGTTTTATTTGTTTAGTGGTTTTACTGAGACAGGTCTTGCTATGTAGTTCAGGCTGGCATTGAACTTACTATGTAGCACAGGCTGGCCTCAAACTCCTGGCAGTCCTCCTGCCTCCGCCTCCCAAGTGTTGGGATTACAGGCAGACTCCACCAGTCTCAGTTAAATGCGTTGCTGTATACAGAATACTCTCGGATTTTGTTTCTTGATCAATGCTGACAATTTGTATCATTTGATTGTGAAATTGAGACCATTCACATTGAAAGTTATTACTGAAAGGCATTGACTTATCCCTTCATTGTATTATTTTCCTGTTGCTCAATCCTATTTACCCCTTTCTGTTTAACTCATCACTTGCGTAATATTCTATTAGACTTTTTGACATTGTTTGCTTTTGGTTGCTTTCTAAGATAATCTTGAAAAATTTTTGTTGTGCTATTTTGGTGGTGATGAATTTTTAAGGTGCCTTTTTTCTTGGAAAACCTTATTTCTTCATCAACTTTGTGAGAAACTTTTGTAGGATATATCAGAGTTGGAAGTTTCTTTTTTTTTTTTTTAGGGGAGGGGTAGGGGCTTGAAACACTTCACCCCATACTCTTCTGGCCTTTGAGGCTTGTATTGAGAAAATGGCCATAATTCTAACTGGTTTATCTTTTTTAAGTTATTTGTTGCTGTCCTCTAACAGCTTTTAAGATTCTGCTCTTGTGTTGATTTCTGGGATATTGATTCTGATGTCTCTTGAGGAGGTTATTTTCTGATTGTGGTAATTAGGGGTCCTATATCCCTCACTTATCTGTATGTTCAATTCTTTCTCCATATTTGGAAATTTTTGTAAGATTTTTTTCTGTAAATAGGTTTTTAAATGCCATTTGTGCTGTCTTCTGATTTTTTTTTTACTAATTTCACTTAATTTTAGATTAGTCTTCTTTGTATCAATCAGCAGCTATTGTATCCATTTTTTCTGCTCTCTTCTTTTTTTTTTTTTTTTTTTTTTGATGTATCTGAGTAATTTGTCACCAACATCAGCCCTAACTACCTGTTTTAACAGTCTGTCCTGAGGTTGGTCATTTGTGCTGCCCATGCTTTTTATAGAATTTTAATCTGTTGAATTTCTATTTGGTACTTTTTCATGGACTCTAATTCTTTGCTAAACAAATCATTCATGTTTTGTATTATTTTTTTAGATTGCCTACATTTTATTAGTGTATTCTGTAAACTTAGTGATCATTGGGAGTTGGGGGCTTTTGGCATACAGAGAAAAACAGTTAATAGCAGCAACTATGCCACCTTGGGCATAGCAACAAAAACAGCAACAATAATAACTTAAAAAACAAAGTGGATGCTGGCATACCATAAGGACCAATAATGTTCCACCTTTAACCACAGAAACAAGATCTATAATTATAGTATAAATACTAAAACAAGCCAAATATTTACATACAGCTAATATCTACTAAATTCAATAATTATATTTCTACTAAAATGAGAAAATAATTGCATAACATAGTTAACTATTTAAAGATTATGCTTAATTGTTACACTAGTAAACAGGTGGGAAATGCAGAATGAAAAAAGTAAATGTTAAAAAATAAGTCATGGAAGATGAGGACAAGGAAAGAAAAAAAGATAAAGGAGTCTATAAAGGACTAAATAGAAATTAATGGAATTAGATAAAAACAACAGAAAAGAACAAAGGAAAAAAGAGAAAAAAATAAGAGAACATAGAAAAAGGATGAAGGAAAAAGTTAAAAGGAAGTAAAAAGAAAAACAAGATACTCACTCAAGACTTCAAAAAACCAAAAGAAGAAGAAAAAACCAAACTCATGATTTCAAAAACATCTTCCGTATTTTTAAATGAGTGGTTTTTCTCCAGAAGCTGTAGTCTTGGAGTCCAGCGAGTCATGGTCTTATCTACTTAGCTTTATGACGTGTGGTTTTATGAGGTTCCCGCCTGCTCCGCAGGCC